CGTGTTCTTGTGATGAATTCGCTGTTCAATATGGCCGATACGTATGCGTTAGCAACGCTAGTGGATTATTTTGATAATAGCAAAGAGTACAGAAGGTAAATTGGAGACCAAGGATATCGTCCAAACGGGGCATTAAGGGGATTTAGCAAATCATTATCCGATGATTTCAGATCACGTAGATTGTCGAGAAGGCCGTTGGGGGGGGGAGGGAGGAGGGAGATGGCAATCTGGCTTACTAACACCGAATGGGAAGGGTAGTGAAGACATTATTCTGTTCCAGACTAAGTGTTCAATCCCTGTTCTATGCCAATGAAACAAAGAACTGTTCCAAGGAAGGACACGAAGAACAGAACGGAACAGAACAGCTGAATAGTGGAATAGAACATAACTGGAACAGTATACCAAAAGTGTGTAGTATGGATATCGTTTTCTGTGAGGGTATCCACGCCCCTGTTGATTTATGAATTTAAGGACAGACGATCGCACAGGTGTGCAGTCCGGTGATATTACTATACCGTACAAATCGATCGCACAGGATACTCTTTCCGCAGTTGATTACGTCCACAACAGTGTAAGGCTATTCTTCATTCGTTTATCGTATTCATTAGAGCTCCTATTGATATCATTATTATTATTGTTATTATTATTATTATTATTGTTGTTATTACTATCAATATTTTTACTAATATCATTACTGTTATTTAACGTCATCAATGTTTCGTCAGCGAAATATCCAGTAATGATCGACGAAATAATGAACGAATAACAAACTTCTGTTAAATATTGACCCTGAACGAGTAACAATTAACGAAATAATTAACGCGTAACGATTAACGAAACTATGCCTACCTCTGTCAGTTACCACCATATTGTGACCATATCCAAGACAACTAGACAGTAACCTGAAAGTAACGACATTCCAGGATGAAAGTAACCTAAAAGAGTATGTGTTAAAGAATATCGACAAATACATCATCAAAGACGCTCGTATAACAATATTACTGAAACAGTTGCAAATGCATGGCGCTAAGACTTTCCTCTTGACCAATAGCTCATTTTCGTATACGAATGTTAGTAAATTTGCATAAAAACTGATTGAAAATCTAAATTTTCACCGCTTTTCCACAGGAAATCGTGAAAAACATCGTTGAGTTTCATTAGGAATAAGTCTGTACTGTTCACTAAACTAAAGTTTCTCCTCAATTCTCTGTATGATATTTTTTGTAATCATTCTGATCTTGATTGATCAAGAAGAATCATTGTGTATCATGAAAATACAGTTCGTAAAGTACTGGGAACTGTATTTGCTGGCCAATTTTGTCAGAGATCTTTTACGATATGGTTCCGATATGAGTAAACTTGACGACCCTTATTGTTCCATGAGAAGAATCACTTTTTCCTATTCAATGTGACCGTGTTTTGACCTCATTTTGGCATTTGCCTATGTCATATTTCGGAGATTACGACTACATTTTGGCCGTATTCGGTCAAATTTCGGTCATTTTGGCTCGCAATCAGTCATAATTCCGGACATTCAATCATACGACTCAATTTCCGGATGAATTTTTTCGGGTACTTTTTTGAGTCCAGGTAAATTCTCGAAAATTTTCAGGGTATTATGAAGTACTTGATTGGAGACGATTGGCTCTCGTATTTCGATTTCACGTTTGTCGACGCAAAGAAGCCGTTGTGGTTTGCGCAGGGGACGGCCTTTCGGCAGTTGGATCCGAACACGGGCACTCCAAAGCTGGGCATACATCACGGCCCGATCAAGAAAGGTCAAGTATTTGTGGGAGGTGAACGACATTTNATGTGGCACTCCTCATTTCCCATCACATTTTCTCGTTTCCCATCTGTTTTTCGGGTTAATTTTTGCAAAAAACCAGACGATATCGGCTCGAATTCAAACCCGTTGCTTGAGAACTCCCAAAAACCCTCTTGATCACCCTTAAAATACCCACAATTCCTCAAAATCCATAAACAGTATCCCGAACTAAGTTCTATAACTTGTCTAGAGGCCAATACTACTTTAATTTGCGGTGAATTCCTCCTAAAAATGTCATTCTTATCTAAATTTTTTTCCCAGGTAACTGTGATATCTTTCGGCACATGTTCATGGCGCGTGGCAAGGATGTCATGTATATTGGAGATCATATTTTCGGAGACGTATTGAAGTCTAAGAAGACTAAAGGTATTTTCGCTTTGTCCTCGGTAATCTCAAAGATATCTGCACTCTAAATCCCCAAAACAAACACCTGAATCTCCCTCGCATTCTCGAGAGATTGACCATCTGCATTCATTCTTATCCAAAAGCTTATATCGCTTATTTTTACCGCTTAATCCCCTCAAATCATTGGATTTTTGATGCGAATTTCAGGTTGGCGTACATTTCTTGTAGTTCCCGAATTGGAGCGTGAGATCTCGATTTGGACCGACAAGCATTCTCATTTCGAGAGACTCGTGGACTTGGGCAAACAAATGGAACAACTCTATAGCGAACTGAGTGTAGAATCAGAGTTGTCTTGCAAACCGAATATACAAACAAATTTGCAGCAGATCCGTGTAAGTTTGCCCGCAAAAACGTGCGATTTTTCATGATCTGATCAGATCATGCAAAAAAAAACTGCACTAAACTGTACGTATTTGCGCTGGTATTTCGCCAGAATCTCTTCAGGAAATCACACAAGAGATGGATCAAAGTTACAGTAAAATGGGATCACTGTTTCGGAGCGGTTCGAGAACCACTTTCTTTGCCACTCAGGTGGGTCTTTTTTCGGTTATGCGCCGGCTGATTGACTCACTCTGTCGGGAAATTCAGGATCCGTACGATTGGGAATTCAGCATTTCATTTGCTTTCCGTCTAAAAAATTCCGTTCCATCTATCCATGCAGCCACCAGTAATGAACTGACCTGAATTTAATTTCAGGTTGAGCGTTTCGCAGACTTATATTCAGCCAGTTGTTACAATCTCATTCATTATCCACAATTCTACTTTTTTCGTGCCGCAATGACGTTGATGCCACACGAGTCTATTGTTGACAGCTCATTTATTACAAATAAAACAAAGACAACATTGAAATGTTGGATAGTTATTATTATTATTATTGTTATCATTATTATTATCATTATTATTGTTATTA